CTGATTATCGTGTAGTCTACTCTGAAGTCATTTCAGTCATGATAGGGTGCGGACTTTTTAACGAGCTTCGTTCTGTCCACTAGCCAAACGTATCTATTTTAAAAACTGGCTACGTAAGTAGTATGCCTTTTAATCATTTATTTTTACTGCTTTTATAAATTCAAATATAGTTTATGGAAAACATGCACAAAAATGGCCTTTATAAATTCAAATATATTTTATGGAAAACATGCACGAGAAAATTAGTATCTTGTTTGATAGAAAATTACGCCTTCTTTAAATTTTATACTCAAAGAAAGGGCATCTTTCGGTTTTAAAAAGTTTCTCAACTGCCGAATAATTTTCTAACCTCCTGACTGCTACGCTCGAATTCAAGGTTTAAAAACTGCGCACTGTGTACATCCTGTTTAAGTAGAAGTACGTTTTCGCTTACATTTTGGGGAAGAAGTCACATAGTCGTCATAAAATATTGCAATAGGTGTGGAACATGGTTTATGCAGTATAGGCAGCATTAATAAATTTATGGATACGATGTATTATGAATAAACACCTCACAATTGTAAAAAAGCTCATAATTAGAATCCTTTTTTATAACCGAAAGCTACCCTTTCTTTGAGTATAAAATTTAAAGAATGCATAATTTGCTATCAAACAAATACAAGGAATACAGTTTTTGTGCATGTTTTCCATAAAATATACTTGAATTTATAAAAGCAGTCAAAATAAATGATTAAAAGGCATACTTATTACGTAGCCAGTTTTTCAAATAGATACGTTTTGCTAGTGGTCAGAACGAAGCTCGTTAAAAAGCCCGCAACCCATTCCGACTGAAATGACTTGAGAATACACTACACGGTAATCAGTATCACAACCTGAGGAAAAACAAACTTGGTTGGGGAGGGAGTGAGCATGACGACATCAGACAGATGAGACACCTATATCAGTTCGGTTTAAGGAGGAGTAAGTTTGGGGGGTGGCTGGCATGACAATCACAATGACTGGGAGGAAACGACTTTTCGGCTTTGGTATTAGGCACAACTAGTACACTAAAATCCTTGGGTGAAGCCCTAATCTGTCATCGCAGGCAGGCCAACGTGTGTTTATTTGCGTGTATGTGATGACAGCGTTAATTCGCTGTTTGGCGTCTATGATGCTGGTTGCTTATACGTGAGCAAGTTGACGGTGTTGTTTAAGTACATGAGACAGAGATGGATGCGCTTGAATGGGCGCGGTTGCATATACTGTTGCCTTGCAATCAGGGGAAATATGAGGTCAACGCGTGCAGTAAAACTCTTAGAGGGAAATCGACTGGGGGTTGAACGATGACCGCGATTAGCTACAGACCCAAATTAAGCAACAAGCCAATCTTTGGTTCTCGTAATATATCTGCGTAGTAGATTTAAGTAGGATTTTTTGTATTAGGGTTTCGTTTCTGCCTAAGGTTAATAGAATACTGAAGGGATAAATACAGTTTACGTTTAGTGTTAGAGCTAGGATTAAGGTTGATATTGGCGTTAAGCTTGCAAGCCGCCGAACATCGCAAGTATTCAAGCCTTTTTTAATCTGTAATTTTGAATTGCCTGCTTTTCCTCCGTTCTCACGTTCCAAATTTGCATACCTTATATTGAACATCATTCCAAGACCCCCAATGGACTAATAAAACACACTTTTACTAGCAATACGAATATTCTCAGTGCCTTTTGCAGATTCTTGAGGTTGACGACGAAGAACCTGTCCAAACCACCTCAGTCATCTTTATTGGATGTCCCGGGATCTCCTTGGCGTGTTGTCGCAGCGAGTGCGGACTGTCTCATTTGAAACGAAGCCAATGCACTTCTCTCGAAGGATGGTTCCCAAGCAGTCGTGGTCAAATGCCTAAAGTTTTCTTTAATTTTTTTCAACGCGCTTAGCCAGAATTCACAGACGTAGAGAAGGACTGTCTGAACGGATGCATGGTACACGTGAACCGTCGTAACAATAGAAATATCACGTCGGGTCCATAGGTACTTTCTAGGGGCTGGGAAAAATTGACGCACTGCATCGATTCGGCAGACAGTGTCAACCTTTCTCCGTTCATTCGGCAGTTACCTCGCTTTAAGTCATTCGAACCTGTCTATTTCATCACTTGGACAGCCATTAAGCTCCACAGACGCCTTCTTGCGAGCCGTAATGCAGCATGAAAACTCTTGGGTCTTCCCAGTGTTTATGGACAAACCGACCGATCTAGCGACCTCCCGCAGCCGTGATACTACAGACTGTAGATCGTCAAAGCTTGAAGCTAGTAAATCGGTATAGCCGGTATATTCAAGGTCAGTAAACCACCGTCCACGCCATCTTTGTATGGACCTTCCCGAGAATCCAGTCAATGGCGTATTTAAATTGAACGGTCCACAAGACACAATCTTGTTGAACGCCAGACCGAATAGCGAACGATTTTAAGAGGTTTGAACCTGTTCTTCGTCGTCAACTTCCCGAGCTCAGTGTTACTGCCCTCTACCCGAATCCGTTACCCAAATGGAGACGTTGAATAGAGGTCAGCCCAAAACCTGGTTTGACTCATTCCGTCAGGACGCGAGTGATGAGATTACGATAATTAGCCATGACTGCGCCAAGTGAATTGGAGAAGCACTAATTTTGATTATCCTTCATTACGATGGCAACTGTATTCTTAAAATGCGCCATACCTAAATTTATTTCGTGCTGTTATAGAGGTCCAAGCGGTGGCTGTACTCGGAGCGTTACAAGTATCAAATCGAATCCGGATTGTTGGAAAAGCATAAGACGCCAGAGTGAGAGATTTATTGTACACACAGATCCCCTAGTTGCTGTCTCAATCTGCATTTGCCGCTAGTGAAGTGTCTGGCCGTGGTTCAGAGAACATCTCAGGGTTCTGTGCACAGTAACTATCACACTCTGGCACCTTATGTTTTTTCCAAAAACCCGGATTCTATCCGATGATTTTACTGTTCTGCCTATAGCCATTGCTTAGCTCCCTACATATTGGTGATCTCGACGTGACCTGAGCATGCAATATTCTGCCATCGCTGATGATGGATCCAAACTTGAATCCGGAAAATCCGGCGAACCAAATTATTTTTTTTAGCAAAAACTTCCCCTTCTTCAGAAGAATCGAATGCTAGAAACTGGGGATTCCCACCACAACTTAGCAAGCACATGAAGGTTATTAAACCGTTGTGGTTTTACTATTGAAAACGGCTTCTTGACTATCCTTCTACATGGCGTGATCCACTAATTTTCTGGATATATATTTATGTCATTATAATGTGGAATATTTTATTTGAGTCTGTTTTACCCCGTTGGTATAAGTTCCGTCGCCTTTCTACTCGATCGCTTACCTTCCGTGTGGACTAATAAAATATCATTTATGCTCTATTCTCTAACGGACTTCAGATCGCCAGTGGGACGACTGTGAGTCGAGAAAAAACAGAGACCACCGACACAGAGGAAAATCGGCTATCCGGGTGGAGGTTAAGGAAGCGCCTGGAAGGTGAACTAAAGCAAACACAGGATCGCTTCGACGCGAGCCAGAGAGAGATCGAGATCTTGCGAACGAAACTCGCAAGAGCTCAGCGTTGCCTGCAGGCAGCGGAGGAGTAAGTTGGGTTTCTTTCCTACCGCAGCTATTTTCTCGGCGTGAAGGCCAGTTGATCCATCCCCTAACTTTTGGTGTATCCTGCATTCAGTATATCAACCAATTGTAGGCAAATTATTCATACCTAATCCCAAAAGTTTCTTCCTCTTTATTAGGAGTATGAGTTTATGGGCAAATAAAGCTTATGTAGTCCCACTCATGTACCCCTAGTCCCAGCATTTTGTCCTACACAAGCGGTGGTTAAAGGGTTTTGGGGGTGGGTAATTAGGATAGACGGAGTGGGAAATTTTTAGAGGTAATTGTAAAGTGAAAAATATGTAGTCGAATTTGCTTCCCGCGGCCACTG